TTTAACTTAAATACGAGTCTTTCGAAATTGAAACGAAATATTTATGTCCATGACACAATTCCTTTGAAGAACATTTAAATTGTTATGGCAAAAATTGGCTCAATATCCTAAATGGAAAACTTTATTACGACACACACAAAATGTATATTTATTACCTTCAATGAAAATAACGTTTTGGCAACAATTGCTTTTCACAATAAATCAATAGGAGTACATGTATATCGATATATTTTTTTTTTCAAAAGTTAAAAAAAAATTACAGGAAAATGCGTCCTTAAAGAAATAAGGACCTTAAGTTGATTAAAGAAATACTTATAGTTCACTTTTTCATATTTTGTATAATTTTCCATTTAGTATGTGCCACATATCTCAAAGCAGTTATATCTTAGGTTTCTTACCTTTTTTTGATGCACAAAAATATGCCTTACAGTGTCTAAATTGAGTTTTGATTTTACATGTTTCCGGTGCAATTACTTTTTTTTATATCGGCATAGACAGAAATATATCAGTAGACATGTATCTTTAAAATATTCAGGGAAATAATAGGGTTTAGAATTCTAAAAACAAGCCTCTTTCATCAAAGTGCAAATTGATTTGGAAAATTACGTAATTTTTAAGACAACTTTAACAACAAAAACTTAGTACATGTCATTTTCAAAAATTCTATCATTTAATATGTGTAAAATTATGTTGTTATTCAAATTCATTGTTTTTTTCTTATTAACTTTAAAAGTATCAGATTTGAAACTCAGCTCAATATCGACTAATTAAACAAGGACATAAGGATAACGAAACCATGTCTTGTTTACATTTCTTGATTGCAGGAAAAACCAACTATGACGTCACACATATGCTTAAAAAGCATACAAGGTGGACCTAAATAAGATTACAGTTCAGTCATGTACATATATATATTTTGTCCATACTCTCAAAAGACCACATGATATTGTGATTGTGACCTTCATAATTCTTATGAGACTGTCAGTGTATTCAATCAGTTTGCTATTGCTGTACTAACAGATCATGTATGAGGTAACCATGGTCTCGCAATGCAGGAAACAGAGGATAAGAACAACATATTTCTTAATTTGTACATGTTTTCAAAATGTTTAATTTTTCTATTATATTTATATAAGATCATGGTAATTAAAGTATACAATAAATAGTAAAATATAACATACAGGAATGGTTTACATGATTTACACTTATATAAACGTATACTTTGATATGGTTAAACAGAGTTATGTTACTATGTGTTTTCACCCCCTTTATGGTAAACCTTTTTACATTTGTGCAATTTAAATGTAAAGATAATATTAAAAAACTTTAAAACATCAACTTCGAATTTAAACGACAAAGAATATTTTAGAAAATGAACAATCATCCTTAAAATATTTAACTAAACGAAAATTAGAAATCATATAAATATGATAAAAGTATGATGACAGCACCTAAAAATATTAAAGATTCCACTCAATTTATCTGAAATGAGCTGGTTCCAATTTAGATAAAAGCTATTGACGTTTTACAAGGATAGGTGAATATCATTAAAATGTTCATCATATTGATTTATTGCTTGTATCTAACGAGCGAAAAACGGTCCTACGAAGATAGCATTATAGAATCTTTGCAATCAATCTTTAACAGTGTCCAATAACAGGACATCACAAAGTTTTCGATAAAGAGAGTCTTCTTTTATAATTCATATATTGAATGTTAAGGGAAAAAATCGATCCTTTACATTGTCTTTTAATGTTTTGAAAGATGAATATTTTATTTTTTAATGGGTTTCTGACATTTAATGCATTTCATTATACTTCTTTGCATATAGATTTCCATTTTTTTTTTCCCAAAAGCATATTGTAGCGCTGATGTCACGTTATTTCGAGAAAGGTAGTTAAAATATCGATATATTTATAATTTCTACTCAAGTTTCCTTTTCAAATGAAAACATAAACGTCTATAAATTTGCATTTGCTGTGTCCTAACAGCTCAATAGCAAATTATTGTCTCTTTAATTTAGTTGGTATTTTTTCCTAATCTTTTTAAAACGTTGTCGTACAATTAAGGCGCCACATCAATAATGGTAGGGCTTTTTTTCACGTGTAATGCACCGTTTGTCCGATGACAAAAGGTAAATATTGTCGGAATCATGGTGAAATCTAATTATAACCATTTTTAATGTTTTTTTAATAGACATTATAAAATTATGTGATTATTCTATGTTTGCATCATATAATAGAAATAAAGCTTCAATTCAATAATACTTGTTTGTCACTTATATCATATCTCTACAACTTGTTTAAATACAATTTTTATGCATGGTTTTCTCGGCATAAAGAACTTTATTCGGTAATAACCAATATTTGCCCCCCAAATCAAACTTTGATGGGGGTATATTCAATTAAGTTCTTAAACAGTGGAGTATTTGCTGACTTCAAAGCACTGAATGTTTTCATACGTAATGACGTCATATGTATGTAATGACGTCACAAACATGACGTAAATTTCAGTTTTTATGAATTCTACAGAAAAATGTACATATTTCGTCGATATTTTGAGTAAAAGTCACCGAGCGCATGTGTGTTCAGGATCAATATTTTGATATAATGTGTAGAATGATAATATCAATGAAATATGTAAATGTTGTTCCTGAACAAACATGCGCTCTATAAATTTTAAAGCTAAAATTGTTGAGACTTTGTCCATTCTTTCTGAAAAGGATATAAAATCGGACAATTTTGTGACGTTATAAAAACAAAAATTGTGAATAAACTGCTTTGAAACTATAATATGTTCTTTTAATTTATATTTCCCTTACAATTTATTGAATTCAGCACATTTCAGGAAGTTTTCAAAATTTGACTTTTCTGGGGGAAAGTATATGCAATATACCGCATATAGTTCTTTCGTCAATTTTTTGAGTCATTTTATGCATTATATTTAAATGTTAAAATAAAAAGTCCGCCCAAGCAAATTTTCATATTTTTTTATAGGCTATGAATAATGGCAGGATCTAGATCAGGCGTTGTGACACGCTGGCGAGCTGAAGAAGGTAAAAAAAATTGAGTAAAACAAGCTAAAAGAAAGATGTTATTAAATAGTCTTTGCCTTAATTTTCCAATTTTATAATGTGTAAGACCTTTTGGAAATGATGAGCAGCACCCGCTTTTTAAAGTGGAAATTCAGAAGCAGAAAAAAGGTGTGAAACCAAAAGCAATGTGTAGAGAAATGAGCGGAAAATGTATATAATAAATCGCATGGAAACTGGTGAAACATCTATTACAATTTTGGTATAGATTCGTCAATTATTGTACACAATATACATGTATTGTATATTTAACAAAGATACACATAATTGTACAACAGATTAGATAAACAAATGCTACCTAAAATTTAATTACTTAATGGCACTTCTTTGATTAAGATTTATGAGTAATAAAGCGGAGGGTATCTGTACAGGAAAAAATATGTTCTCGCTCCTAAGTTAGTAATACTATATGGATGCGGTATAGAAATAACCCATAACCACTATTTCAAAACAAAGAGCAGGAATGGGATAGCTTTACGTTACTTGCAGTCCTTTCATCCTGAGATTTTCAACTGAATAATAACCAGTTTTTAGGTTTTAGTTTCTACGTATAAAATGAGTCAAAAGGAATCTCATGTCTTTGAAATATTCTGGACATTGTGAGCAATAATTCCAACATTTAATCAGTTTAATTTGATGTATTAATTCAAATAAATTGCATCGAAAAAAAATATCATTAAAGTAAGAAATTTTACATTTTGGAATTAATTAATTAAAGGTAGAAAGCAATATTTTTTTTCAAAGTTGGAAGGGGGAGGAACAGCTAGATAAAATAAAGAACAAAAAACGGGAAAAGGCCTAGCTTAGTTCTAAGATGCATAAAAAAGAAAATACCCAAATCAGATACATCTTTTTCGGAGGTGTGGATGAAAAATAAAAAAAAAAGTTTTTCGGCATTAAAACCAATAGATAAACCCTCCTTTACTGACTTATGATAAGAAAAGAAGGGTTGTACTAAGTTTGCAGTTTCTTGAATACATGCATGGTCAGATCATGCAATGTCTTAACTCTAGATGAAACCTCTAGATATCCCTTTACGTAGGACATATTTGATGGCCCCACTTTAAACTAAAATAAATCTTAGGATTTCTCATAGTCCTAGCTATAGGATAGCTTCAATGGCACAGATACTGGTTAATATTAAACTTAACATATTTTAGGTTTCTATTTGGCTGATCCAATACCACGGAAACGGGTCCGAGTATGCAGGTACATATAGATAAACTCAAATGTAAAATTTATGAGGATATTCCATTATAAATATGATTTAAATATGCTTTTGTAACTTGCTGCATTATTAACGACAGAAAACATCTTTAATTATAAAGTTGAAATTTTATGCAACCTTTAAAAATATGTTCTTAGATAATATTTTGTTTAAATCAAACAATAGAATATTATTTTGCAGTCCACCAAGGTGTAACGAAAGATCTCATATCCTCCGTCCTTTTTATGTCACTTTCAAATATGGTGCATCAGAATTAAACCTATATAAACGCATTTCCTCGGAGGTGCAGTATTTCTGGAGGAAAGAACGGGAAGCACTAAAGACAGTTCCTGAACCAAAAGATGGCATATATTTCATCACTGATGACAGAGAAAATGTCAAGAAATTGTGCCTGGAATTCTTCCAATTTTCAACAAAAACAACCCAGTATAAGCAATGTAGGATCTGTTTTTCTGTATTTTCCAAGGAATTCTATGTTTAATTAAATTATTTACTTATAACGGGAACATTTTTATTATTTTAGACGAAGACGAGTCTTTCGATAAAGAATCTGTTTTTGTGTGTTATCTGGGATATTCGTTTTGGGAAGATAAGGTGAAGACTATTTCTTTGAATTAGTGACTTTCATTAATTTGTGATTGATCCTTCAGTACTTTAAATTTTTGGATTATTTTCAGATCTCTTTTGATTCTTTAAACTCTTTGGTGAAGGGCATCGACAGATCAATGCTGTTTTTCATCGTCGATTCTCATTTTGATATTGAAAAGAAAATCAAGCTGGTCGTCAGGAAAGCCCAATGTCATGCATCACATGTCCTGAGAGTGAACGGTGACAAATCAATAATTTATGAAAAATGCTACTTGAAATTAGAGAAGACAATTGACAATATAACATCATCTTTGAAAGCAAAAACTGCAACAAGACAAATCAGCGGATTTGTCAAACAAATCGAAGAACTTGAAGAGAAACTTTTTGCCAGGAAATCTCGTGTACACTCAAAACTTACACAAGAGTGTGTGAAAAAGATTAAAGCGTAGGTATTATAACACCTTTTAAAATTCATTAATCGTTCAAGCAAGAAAATAATGAAACATATTTTGTTTTGTGAACAGCGTTTTAAAATTGTCGGATCTCTTCAACATTCAAATGTAATTATTTCAAATATTATAGATATTTAAACAAGTTTTTTTTCTTTATTCAGTGGAAGAAAATATGGAGTCGTTGGATACAGGCTTTGTGATGGAACGTTATACATTTTCTCTAGTAATCAGAATCCAAATCTTAAAAACAAACTCGTAAAAGCAATAGGAATGCACTTTCAGGGAAAGATAGAATTTCAGTTGATAAAAGAAGCATTAAATCCGCAGTGTCAGATCAAATGTGGGGGTGAAATTGTTAATGGAGAAAAAAAGATTCAAGGGAGTTTAGGAATGTTTGGAGAAATTTCAAGTCAACAAAATCATGATGACACATTTTCAAACGTTGTAGCCATAACATCCGGTCATCTTTTCAAAGAAGGCGACGTTGCTAAATTCCAACATCTCCAGGTATTGAAAACAATGGGCTGCTGTATTTGGCCGAATGAATGTTTATATGAAAGGGGAAGATCAGTTGACAATGTGCACGATATCTCTGTTATATCAATAAAGAGATCAGTACTTTCATTGCTACTAAAAACCATTGAAGACCTGAATGAAAGTATACATGTTTATGACCAACCTCTTGCAACACTGTCCGACAGATTTGTATTTAAATATGGTGCTGCTACTGCAAAAACGGAGGGATTCGTCGAAAAAGTTAGCGACTTTGAAGTTTTTGGCGGCGATGTTATGGTTATTTTGCCAGATCGTGCTTTTGAACAATTTTCCGACAGAGGAGACAGTGGATCAATTGTTTTGACCAGAGTTGAAGAAGATTTGTACGCAGTTGGAATTGTATATGGTGGTGAGTTAACCCTTCGGAACGCAGAATGCCTAAACGCAAAAAAGGAAACAATTGCAGCAAGTCTCCATATTGCTCTTGATCGTTTTACCACAAAAACGAGAAAATTTATCACATTTGACAAAATATGAAGTGGCAGTATAACCATAACTTCATTTAATCAGCTATATACTTCATGAACTATGCATTAAAAGAAAAAGTACTTATCCGTAGAAGTGTTATACGCAAACAAAACATAGAATTAGAAGAACAAAGGCATGCTTTATAAACTCTTCTAATAAAACGCAATGAATTATGCCTGAATTGAATGGAAGCTCCGAATAAACAAACCAAAATCTTATCTTTTGCAATTAACATTGAAATTACATTAACTGTACAGAAAAGTATTTCTTGTGCACATTTTGTCCGGTGAAGGAACAAAAGGTGTTTAATAATCATATAGTTGCATATATGACATTCAAATTTACTTGGCAAACTTGTTATATATTCTGATCACCAATTGTTCGTTGGTCATCCATCCGGCTGTCTGTCCGTCCGCCAGTAATCTATTAACGTTTTCGATTTATTCTCTTTAACAACTACGCCAATGTTTTAACCAAACTTAGTACAAAGGATTCGTAGATTAAGGGAAATTTAAAATGTTAAAATGAAGGATAAAGCCTCCTTACGAGGAGAGACAATCAGGAAAAAAGAAAAAAGGATAGGTTCCTTAAAAACTATCTTTATAATAACCACTGGGCCAGGGAAGCTGAGACTTATGTGACAGCATCTAGGGGTAGTGTAGATTCTAAATTGATCAAACCATGACCCCAAGTCTAAGAGGGCCACAATTTTAGGATTTACATTAAAATATATAGGGCAATTCTTCTCCCACTGGGCCAGGAATGCTGAAACTTTTGTGGAATCAATCATGAATAGTGTAGATTCTAAATTGTTCAATCCATGACGCCCTTGGGGTTGGACGGGGCCACAATAGATAATCCATGTTTTGAATTGAAATATATAGGGTAAATGTTTAAAAATCTTCTTCTCAAGAACCACAGGGCCAGGAAAACTGAAACTTATTTGGAAGCGTCCTTAAATAGTGTAGATTTAAAGTATCAAAATCATTACCTTAAGGTTAGGCGGGGCCACAATACGGAATCCAATTGTTTTTCTCGGAAAAAAAATCTTCTCAAGAACCATTGATCGCAAAAAGCTAACCTTATATGGACGTATCCTTGGTTAATGTAGATTCTAAATTAATCTAATCATAACCCCTTTGGGTAGTGCGGGGCCACATTAGCGAATCCAAGTTTTACATTTAGATATCTAGGAAAAATCTTCTCAAGAACCACTGGGCTAGAAAAGCTTAAACTTACATGGAAACATCCTGGGGGAGGTATAGATTCTCGATTTTTGAATCATGATGGAACACAATATGGAATATTTTTTTTTACCTTGAAATAACTTACATGGAAACATCCTGGGGAGGTATAGATTCTCGATTTTTGAATCATGATGGAACACAATATGGAATAATTTTTTTACCTTGAAATAACAGGAAAAATCTTGTCAAGAACAACTGGGCTAGGAAGCATCCTGGGGATATAAAAATAAAATTTTTTGAAACCATAAGGGTGGGGTCACAATAGGGAATCCAAGTGTACTATTGAAATATCTAGGAAATATCTATGAAGAATCTTTTTCTCAGGGCCAAGAAAGCCAAGAAATCATGTCCTCTGGACATAGAGTTGGGTCAGAATAGGTATTACAAGTTTGAGAATCCGATGAAAAAATCATGATTAAATTTATTCAAGTGAGCGTTGTTGTCAATGGACTTCTTGTTTCCTGTACATATTGTTGAGAAAATGTGTCTATTTCAAAAGGCTACCACTTACATTAAGACGGCTGCAAAATTAGATCTCATTCTTATTCCGGATGCAGTAACACGTTTTAAGCTCACCTGAGCCGAAGGCTCGAGTGAGCTTTTCTGATCACATTTTGTCCGTAGTCCGTCCGTCCGTCTGTAAACTTTTCACATTTCCAACTTCTCAAGAAACTCTGGGCCAATTTTAACCAAACTTGGTATAAAGCATCCTTGGGGGAAGGGGTTTTTAAATTGTTAAAATAACAAGGTCTCCTTCCAAAGGGGAGATTATCAAGAAAAGACAAAAATAGGGTGGGATCATTAAAAAATCTTCTCTCGAGCCACTTGGCCAGGTAAGCAGAAACTTATGTGGAAGCATTCTGGGATAGTGTAGATTCTAAATGGTTAAAATCATGACCCCTGGGGTAGGGCGGAGCCACAATAGAAAATCCAAGTTTTACATAGAAATATATGGAAAAAATCTTTAAAAATCTTCTTCTCAAGAACCACTGGGCCAGAAAAGCTGAAACATATGTGGAAGCATCCTGGGGTAGTATAGATTCTAAATTGTTAAAATCATGACCCCCGGGGGTAGGGCGTGGCCACAATAGGAAATCCGAGTTTAACATAGAAAAATATAGGAAAAATCTTTAAAAATCTTCTTTCTAAGAGCCAGTGGGCCAGAAAAGCTGAAACTTTTGTAGAAGGATCCTGTGATAGTGTAGATTCTAAATTGTTAAAAATCATGACCCCTGGGGGTAGGAAGGGGCCACAATAGAAAATCCAAGTTTTACATAGAAATATATAGGGAAAAAGTGGGCCAGTAAAGCTGAAATAATCTTGGTGCATACTAGGCTAGAGTAGATTTTAAATTGTAAAAATCATAACCCCTGGAGGTAGGGTAGGGCCACAATAGGAAATCCAAGTTTTACATGGAAATATATACGAAAAATCTTTTTCAAATCTTCTTCTCAAGAACCAGTGGGCCAGAAAAACTGAAATAAATATGGAAGTATCATGGGGTAGTGAAGATTCTAATTTGTAAAACTCATGACCCCTCGGGGTAGGGTGGGGCCACAATAGGAAATCCAATTTTTACATAAAAATATATAGGAAAAATCTTTTAAAATCTTCTTCTCAAGAACCATCGGGCCATAAAATTTGAAAATTATGTGAAAGCATCCTGGGGTAGTGTAGAATCTTAATTTCTAAAATCATGATCCTTGGGGTAGGGCGGGGCCATAATAGAAAATCCAAGTTTTACATAGAAATACATAGCCATTATCTAAAAAAATCTTCTTCTTAAGGACCAGTGAGCGAGGATAGCTGAAACATATGCGACATCATCCTGGGGTAGTGTAGATTTTAAATTGTTAAAATCATAATCCTCGGGGTAGGGCGGGGCCACAATAGGGAATCCGATTTTTATATAGAAATATATAGGGAAAAAATTCTTCTCAAGAACCAGTGGGCCAAGAAAGCTGAAAGGGTAGTGTAGATTCTAAATTATTAAAATCAAGAAGGGGGAGCGGGTAAGAAGGGGCCACAATAGATATATGAAGAGGGGAAATCTGGCAAAGAACTGCATCACAAAAGTTACTCAGGTGAGCGATGTGGCCCATGGGCCTCTCGTTGTACTGCGTTATATTTGAAATGGTCTCATAATTTTTAGGATCATAATTTTGTGTTATTTAAAATGCAAATTATGGATCAGCTCCTTACTTTTTTAAATCCACAAGTTTGACGAACTTCCCAAACTCTGCACCAAGACTATGACTATATCCGTGGAAGATCTATAGATGTACGCTTTACATAAAATTGCAAATGCAACCAGTGATTTTTTAATGTATTCAACTTTTCATTAAGTAAAATGCTGATTCGTGGTTCAAATACCAAGTGTTGGACCATTATTTACACACTGACTGTCAACGAATTTTTTTTTTTGTTAAATCCCAACAAGGAGCCTACGGCGGATATAACCAGTCGACACGGGATGTCACTCCATCACGGCATCTGATCTCACCTTTGATGTTTCAAAGGTCTGTGTTTCTTCTGCTCTATATTTATATTATTCAGTGGACTTTTGAGTTATATACTGTTCGTTATCTCCATATATATGTATTTTATTATTTACAACTTTTTTCACTTTTATGAATTGTAAAACTGATTCATTTTTATAAGTATTTAAAATTGACATAAAATTTCAGTGTAATGGATCAGAACTTAATTTCCCCTTACAATCTGAATTATCAAATTACATTTTAATCTTTTTTTTTATTTGTTTGTTTTGTTTTGTTTTGTTTTGTTTTTTTTGGCGGGGGGCTTTTTTTTTTTGCTTTTGTTTGCTTGTGGCTTTCAAGATAAATTCTTGTGGAAATCTTTTTGAAAGTATTTCAAAGATTAAAATTCGATTATGAAAGATTTTGTCGCAGTTGTGAAATTACTTTTGGATTAACCTTAGTATATTAATATTTGCTAAATTACTATCTACCGATACAACTTTGACCAGAAATAGATTCTTGTAAAGGGACATTTTCACTTCGCTCACTTCTGTTTGTTGGTTGTTTTAATATATATATTTAATATTTTGTAAAGCATTGTAAATTTTTGAGACCTATCAACAATTTTGTATGATGAGCTTGTTTATAGCTATGTATTTGAACACTTTTTCATAAGATTGTTAATATATATTTATAACAAATCTTGTTTTTAACATATCTTTGAACATATCTTATTTGTAGTAATGTATTTGATGTATATCTAAATATTGTGGAATGAACTGTAAATTCTAAAGACCGATTGTACATTTTTAACACTAGCACATCAGTCAAGTTTAGCTTATGTACGAATGTTTTAAAACATTCTTCAATCATTTGACACCTTCGATTAGTTTACTGTCAGTCGAGGCCTCAAAATGGAAACCGTATGTGTAACAAATGGACTAAATCTACGCTTATTCATGATCAAAGAGTACGAAAATAGAAACACACTGGATCAAACCTAAAAGAGGTAAAAGTGAACGGCGCTTACCATGGCTTCACTCTGCAAGGTATTAAAACAAACGCTTTGGCAAAGAGAAATTCGGACTTTGTGCAATGATCCAAATGAATTTTCTACAGTTATTACTGGGCACGGGCTTACTACATATTGCTTATAAAAGCTATGTTCTCGAAACAAAACGTCATTTGTTGTTTGATTGATTGTATGTTATATACATGTATTTTACGTCTCATTCAAGAATCTTTCACTTATGTAGAGAAGGGCTTCAAACTTGGATCTTTACTCGGCACTTAGGGCCATTGGGCAGTGAGAGATCTTTATCATGTCATAGCCTGTAGTAAAGACGAGGCCTCGGTTTTTAAGATCTCATGCGAAGGATCCACAACTTTCTGTTCAACTGCCGAGCTTGGCTAAAGAACAGTTGCAATACATTTTTTTCGACTTAGGTCTCTCGGGGTTGAAGTCACGACTTCCCGATCACGGAACAAGTGCTCTACCGACTGAATAATCATTTGCTCTTTGAAGTAAATGCAGTTTATAAATTGTACTCTGAACAATTACCAGCGCTCGCCCTCACGGTCGCACCCTCCATGTATTATGACTTTTTAACCAAATTAAAAGGCTTCTTTTTTTTTTTTAAACATTAACCCGAAAAAAATCTTATGAAACACACTGAAACAACCTATTCGGCGGCGTAAAAGAAATATCATATTGAAATTCGGACAAAACAAAAAGGTTTTCAAATTTGTTCTACAGAGCGACTGAAAAAGAAAACATTTTTTTTATATGTATTGGTTTGCAATAAATATATTTTTCAATTTGTTGTTTGGTTATTTTGAGAGACTTTAACAATTCTGGACTTGAAACACTATGGGAGGGAACAAATTCTCTTTTAGCCGAATTAACATTTAAAACAACTGTTTAAAGATATCTACATGTACAAGGGATGTCAACACAATGAATGTACTTATCAATACAGGTACAAATGTATATTTTAAGTAATTTTTTGATATTATTTGATCATGGTTTAGAGCGAGGGTGGATTTATGAGTAATGCAACATACCGTTTATCAAGATAAAAGGAAAGTTTTAACTTTTTTTCTCAGTTAAAAAGTAATATTAAAGAGCTCCTAATTACAGAAAACCCAATAGCTTTTCTTATTGTCGTCGCAAAGACATTCACTTTTAAAATAGGCGATGAGTAGAAAACTGTTATTACATGTAAATGATCTCTGCCAAGAAAAGGAAAATGACAACGTAATATAAAATCTGTACCTCTCTATATAAATCGCCGAAAAACTCACATTAAAGATATGAATTTTCTATGTGGAAAAACTAATCTTTAACACTGCATAGTTTTCAGCTGGATTCAATAATTCCGAAAGGGAAAAAACTGAACTAAAATATGACAGTCAGACCGGTCGATTAAAATTTGTGGGGACTCCACAATGTGTCAAATATATCTGTAAATGCTAGATTCACACTGATAAAAACATTACAGTACCAATTAGACCCAATCTGACACAAAGCAGTCCCGGGAACTGCTTTCTGTGAGTGCTTTTCCAGTTCCACAGCGGCCCCAGAGCACTCCCACTGCAGTCCCACAGCGGGCCCAGAGCACTCCCACTGCAGTCCCACAGCGGGCCCAGCAGTCCCAGAGAGCATTCCCAGAGAGCAGTCCCATTGGGCAGGCTTTATTAATTTAATGCGTGGAGCTTACGCAGAAATGATTGATTGATTGATTGTATACTGTTTATCGTCCCTCTCCAGAATATTTCACTGATATGGAGACGTCACCATTGCCGGTGAAAGGCTGCAAATTTAGGCCTATGCTCGGCACTTACGGCCTTTGAGCAGGGAGGGATCTTTATCGTGCCAAACCTGCTGTGACACGAGGCCTCGGTTTATACGAACTTCTCATCCGAAGGACCGCCCCATTTATTCGCCTTTTACGACAAGCAAGGGGGAACCGAGGACCAATTCTAACCCGGATCCACACGGGGCTACTCAGAAATGAGATTACTAGTTAAAAGTATAGTTTTACTGAGGTATAAACGGCAGTTGAAATTTATACTGAGTTATATTGACAAATGTTTACAATTCTTCCATGTATGCGATTGTCATCTCTTAACAGTACTCGTATAGAAACAAATAATAATTATCGATTAAGGAAGAAGACTTTCACACATTTTCATATCATGAATATTTAAACACAGTTGTATAGTATATTGATTTTGCATCAACATAATTCAATTACATGTATCTGTGATTTATATCGATTTCTTTATTTTTCAAATAGAAAATCAAGCTAAAATTGCTATTTTCTACTAGAATAACTTTAAATAGATATTACAATTATAGAGCAAGGCCGATTTCAATATACTATACTATGAAGGCGTTTTTCTTTAGTGGTGGTGCTTTTCAGAAATTCAATTGTTAATTTTCCTGACTATTTTTCCGTCATTATATTCACTGATATGTCAATTCAATTATGGTTTGTTTCTCTGTGTAAAAAAAAACAATAACACTCAGTTTTAAGTGTTTTATAATATATTAAACTTTTCAGTGTACATCTGTTAATCACGAGAATTGGAACCCTCATATTACGTTCAAAATTAATTAATCCCGAGGGAAATTCAAATACATTTATTGAATCAAAGATTTATTTGCATTACATAAAATGTAGATCGAAATAAGTGTCATTATTGACATTATTATCAATGATCCAACACCCAAAGGCGATTTAAACCTTTATACACATTCATCTATGGAAGCCTGGTAGGGCCATGCAGCTCACTATCGCACTATCGAGCATCGACTTAAAGGTCGATGGCGCGATAATGTAATTGGTGCGATAACGATGAAGCGTACATGCAGTGCGATTGAGGATCCGCGATTACAATAATGCTATAGCGCGACAATGAGATAAAAAGGTGCAAGAACATTGAGGCGATAGTGAAAATTGCTTCATCGTCATCGTACCATTGTGTCATTGTACCATCGCTGCACTGTGCTCTCGCTCCATCGTGTAATTGCATAATCGTCTAAGCATTGTCGAACCATCTCTTCATCGTAATCGGACTATCGCTTCATCGTCAGTATGAGATGATGCAATAGTGAATTAGATGGCCCTATCCGGTGCAATCGTGCGATGACGGTGATGCGATGGCGCGACATAGTGCGGTGATGGTGGGATGGAACGATGACGATAAAACGGTGTTTATTTTCACTCCATTGAGCTATTGCATCATCTTCATCGCACTGCCGAGCCATTGCATCATTATCAAAGAGCTATCGCACCACTGTTTCATCGTTTATCGCTCATTATCGCACCATCGATCCTTTAGTCTTTAAGACTCGACCCCTTCCTATGGAATTCGGATAAGGCCATGCAGTTCACTATTGTACCATCGAGCATCGACTTACATGTCAATGGTGCGATAGTGCTATAGATGAAGTGATAGTGCAATAGCGCGATAACGATGCTGCGAAAGCGAGATAATGCAATGACGATGGTGCTTCATTGTCGTATCACAAACGCTTTATTGCGCAATTGCATTATTGCGTTATCGACTATTTACTCGATGCTGGATATTTTGTGAACTACACAGCCCTATCCGGATCCAATACAAATAATTCCTTTTGAATTTCCTGCACCAGTCTCTTTTATAAACATATCACCAATTCTACATCTCACGATCGGTTTAAAACAGTATATATTTCAAAATTATATTTTCTTTGAAAGCATTTTTAAATATATGAATTTTGATCAAGAGTAACAAGGCGAAGTATTTTGAAATATAGACACAGTGAATTTTAAAAGTTTTACAGTATAAAAAAAACTAAATAGATAAAGTACACTGAAATAGCCTTATTAGATTGCGAGAACCCTTAAATAACTATACTTAACTTTTTAGTATTATGCGTAATTTGTTTGCATAAACTTCATAATACCGACAGTTATTGATTTAAATTATTAACAAAATTTTACAGGTTTTTAAAGCAAATGAACTCACGTCAGGAAATAATGTGCAATAAATATCAGGACGTTATAGAGGATTTTCAGAGGGGCATGTTGAATTAAAGGTGAGAAGAAAAAATGGCTTACAAATAACTACTCAGTACATAGATTTTAATGATTAATTGATATTTTTCGTGTAAGGTCGAATGGCGAATATTTAACTCATATTTCGGCAGTTCAATTTTATTGAAGATAGCTAGTGGGATAAAAATTGGAATTAGAAGTCCCAAAAAGTTGTCTTAGTTTTTATTGATTTTTTCTTACATCAAATATTCTAATTTGATTGAATTATTTGTATTAAATCGAATAAGTATATTTGATGTAACAAAAAAAAATCAATGAAAACTAAGACAACTTTTTTTCTTCTTATTACCATTATCCCCAGTTTTATCCCTTTTTTATATTTCATTTGAAATTCCACGCAAACTGTTATTTCAATCTGTATTAAATTCAATTCTATTCTATTCTATTACTCATATTATCATGTGACGAGACCCCCATATGGATCTCCCGGACAGAGCTCAAGTACTCCTTAAATGTGACATTTGTAAAGAAGATTCCACACAGAGTCATTGTGAACTTTGTCATATTAACCTATGTAAGGTGTGTGGGGAGACCATCTCTCTGATTCATCAAAAAGACACAATGTTGTGCCCTACAAACACAGAACTGTTGCAACCAACTTGCCATGTCAAAAACATAGCCATAAAAACTGTGAAGTTTATTGTGAGAAATGTGATTTTAATGTCTTTTCCATCTGTCCCTCCTCTGGTGAATATAAAGGTCATGATTTAACAGATGCTTTAGATAAACTAATTTCAAAAACAAAGGATATAAAAAAAAGTCAGCGGACCTAGAGAAAACAATTTACCCTGCATATGAAAGAATTAAATTAGATCTCAACAATGAAAAGGAAACCTTAGAAAAACATTATAAGGAATTGAACTCTACTGTCACCAACCAAGGAGAAGACTGGCACAGAGAAATTAACATCATTGTCAACAAACCTAAATCTGAAATTGATGAGATGAAAACTAAACACATGACTGTTCTAAATGAACAGGAAAATAAGATAAAACATATCACTTCAGTTGTAAATCAATGCATAATGGAACTGAAAAAAATACTAGACTCAAATGATATTCCCATGATATCCACATACGAATCCAGGAATGATGAATTCAGAAGTTTACCTCCTAAAGTCAATGTTTCATTACCAAGTCTTTCTCTTCATCAGATCAACACAGAACAGCTCTATCAAATGTTTGGTTCTCTGTCAGAATTATCCATTACAAAAGGTGAACATTGCTACACAATGGATGCTACACAAGAAGATGAAGTTTGTCCGTCTGTCAAAGAACTTCTGGATAAACAAGAACTCATCATCACCATAGATACTGGGTATAAGGAATTGTTTAATGTAATCTGTCTTAATGATGAAGAAATCTGGACCAGTGGGAAAGACAAAATCATGAAACTCTACAACCTCCAGGGCAATCTACTGAAGTCAATCCAAACCAAGTCTGGAAACGATCCGTGTAACATAGCAGTGACAAGGAGTGGGTATCTCATTTATACTGACTTTAAAACAAAATCCATTTTCAAAGTAAGGAATCATCAGATTGTGGAAGAAATTCGATTGCAGAACTGGATACCTTGCTCTGTCTGTACTTCTTGCACCGGTGACGTAATAGTTATCATGGACAGTGAAGATAAACAATCAAAAGTCGTCCGTTATTCTGACTTCACGGAGAAACAAACCATTCAGCTTGATGATAAAAATGAGCCTTTGTTTTTATCAGGTACCCCCAAATACATCACTGAAAATAAAAACATGGATATCTGTGTGGCTGACTCTGGTGCCTACGCAGTTGTGGTTGTTAATAAAGTTGGTAAACTCCGATTTAGATACACTGCTTGTAACCAAGCCTCCAATACCAGGAAATATTTCTATCCACGTGGAATCATCACAGACAGCCAGAATCATATACTGATTGCAGACAGTTTCAACGACAATATTCATATCCAGAATCAAGACGGACAGTTCCTTCGTTTCATTAAAAATTGTGATCTAGTATTCATTGGGTTTATGTGTAGATGCCAGAGAAAACCTCTTTGTGGCTGAGTGGCAAAGTAGTAAAGTGAAGAAAATAAAATACATAGGACAAGAATAGAGAATTAATTTGTAAGGAAAAATAGTAATATGAAGGAATCTGAAAGGAATATGAAAGATGATAAAACACATGTTGTCATGAGGTCGTCTGTTTAATATTTAAAAAGATATTTTTTAAGTTTACTTAACTTTGATGTAAATTAAAGAGTTTCGTTTTATCACATCGCTGAAGGCAAGGAAGATTTCTCTTGTTTTTCTAAGATAGCAAACATGTATATGCACAAGACAAATTCATTTAAATTATTTTTTCACTACATTTCATCCTTTCTGGACGTTTTATTTTCTTATTTATAGGTTGTAATATATATTTCGTAGCATAAGATAACGAGTATGATTTTGATTGGCCGATTAAATCTAGACGCATTCTAATTGCTTTTCCGACGTTTACTCTTCAAGTTCCTGGATATTATGGTATGACTTGTATCTACTGTTTATGATTGTAAATACATGTATCTATGATATTTTTTTTTGTTCTTTTGTCTTCAGATTTTTACCATTTTCCATTGAATACCTCCTAGCTCTCTACATGTCATAGATCCAACATTACAATATGTTTTGTTCACCTGCACATGTCAAAGAAAAATAAAATATTTTTAAGGTGATGTATATGATTGTATAGTCATCTACTTCCTTAACATACCTGCAAAGATAAAAGAAAGCATCAATATCTATCTAAGCTGTTAAATGCACATAAATATGAAATGGATGTGTAAAATATACAAAGAACAAGGTTCACTTTTGCCTCATTTGGCCCTGTGAATTTCTGAAAAACTGAACCAGCATTGTTTTAGTTCACAATGCATTAAATATCACTGAGATCTTTGGTGACTGCATATCTAAAAAAATGACGTCATTTTCTGGCTAGTCAATGCATTATGACGTCACGAAATGCGTCAATTTCCCCATATTCTGAAAAGTCTACAAAAACGGCCGAATTTTTAAAGCTTTTTTTTATATTTAACATAGAGCGCAACCTCTGATCTAGGATATGCAAGTAGTAAATGATAGAACTGTTTCTGAGGATTATAAAATATGTATTTTTCAGATCAGAGAGTGCGCTCATATTATTTTTCTTCACTGAAAGTACTCAATTATGCCTGTTTTCCTAAAAATTCAAGAACATTGCAATTTCATAAAGCCAGTTCTCCTAGACCTGGACTTTTAGAAGAAATTTTTTAGAAGGATATGAAAGCACCAAGTCTCTATTTCAATTTAGTACTTCAAATATAAAATCAAGTATTGATCAATAAATTGGTATATCTACGGGGCCATTTTAAGCATAAAGTGAACCGACTTCTTTGAATATAATAATCGATAATATTAACAAACAATTTAATGTGAACATTATCAATGATAAATCATTTAATATTTCTATAAAATAATTAATTCTAATTGGATTACTTTTTTATTGAAAAATTTGTCCGTTATGTTCCTGATTTACGTGTTAGACTTTTCCAAATTGTACAGACAGGTGATATGTATTGACGGTATATGATTGATTGATTGTAAATTGTTTAACGTCCCTCTTGAGAATTTTTTACTCATATGGAGACGTCACCACATGCAGGTGAAGGGCTTCAAATTTTGACCTATACTCGGCACTCAGGGCCATTGAGCAGTGAGGGTTCTTTATCATGCCAGCGCCTACCGTGACATGGGACCTACATTTTTAAGGTCATATCCAAAAGACCCATGACTTTCACTTCTAGTTCCCAGTGCTTGGCGAGGGAACAGTCACTACCTTTGTTTACATCTTAGGTATGACGCGGCGCCGAAAACGAGAAACGAACCCGGGCCTCACGATCACGAAGCAAACGCCCTACCACTAGGCTACCGTGACCTGTATATTGACGGTATAAAATTCAGATGAAGATATTTGCTAATTGAATCGAACATTTTTGCAAATTGAAAAGTTTTTAGAGATATATTTGAATAACTTCCTTTCACATTTATGAATCTTAAGATATCAGTTTACCATTTAAAAAATCAATATATCAAAGAAAGCGTAAACGGAAATTATTTCTCAGTGCACTACGCGCAGTAGATGGGATAAAACATTTTTATTTTCTTTATTCCTTTTATCATATTATACTTTTTGATATGAATAATACAAAATTGTAAGCATGAAATAATCTTCCTAGTAAATAAACAAGGTGCACAAATCATTTGTTTGACTTTTAATACTGATAGTATTTTTCTACTATCATTTCCAAATTGAGAAACCATCTGGAAATTTGACAAACAAAATTAAAACATTTAAATTATTTAAATGTATGATTGAAGTTTTCTGTTATTTTTAATTACAGAGTCCAATAAATGTTTGACCCAAACCCCAGCAATGGACCCCGATTACAGTGCCCAAGACATTCCCGTCTTTGACCTGTGTCAAACCGCTGAATTACAGAGTCATTGTGAACTTTGTCAGATTATTCTGTGTAAGGCCTGTGTAGGGTAGTATCTCTCTGATTTATCTAAAAGACATAACGTTGTACCATACAAGCCCAGAACTTCTACTCCTAATATTAACTACCCAAAATGTCCAAACCACACCCAGAAACATCGTGAAATTTACGGTGAGAAATGGACATTCCCGTCTGTTCTACTTGTATTTCCTTTGGGAAACATCATTAACATATTATAACAGATATTTTACAAAAGAGAAGTTCTAAAACAAAAGATTTAGAAAGTGACTTACAGGAACTCGAGAACAAAATATATCTTACATACGAAGAAGTACGCAGCACAATTAAGGTTACAAATGGAAATATCGGCGATTTTTTTTAGATAAAAAATACATACTTTATAAGGGTGGGCGAATCTTTTTAGGAGTTCAGTGATATAAAAAAATGTAATGAGGTCGACATCTACATGTTGGGACATTTAGATTTTTTATTTAGACTTGTCATGTAATGTCGACGTCACATGATTTTGGCAATTATACTTGCAGTTTAGAGGTCATCTATAAATTTCAATATTGTGTTGTGAGATGTGTTGTATTTGTATTGTTTCATCATGTCTATTATTAGTAACATTAAGTTTCTTGAACATTCCAGAGTGGTCAACATGTTCGGTCATTGTTTCTAGAACATTCCTGAACTTTGTGTATGTCCAGAACTTTCCAGTAATATCATGTACTTACAATTTCTAGAATATTCTAGATTTATGATACTGTATAAATACCCTGTCAACTCGATGCATAGATACAATTGTCGTACAAGCATCACTGAGGTATTACTGGGATATAATTTCACTGGGACATTGTGTGCAGCAACGGACACTCTGATGTATGTATTCTTAGATTCTTGCTAAGTTTGTACTTAATGATTTGTATATTACTGTAAATAAATTATTGTTAAGTTTAAACTGTGTGATTATTTTTT